AAATTGATCCTGCGGATCTTATATACATTGATATTTTGGTACGTGAGTTGTCCGTGCGGTTATAATAGAGATATGGACACGAGATTTTGTAAAAATATGAAAGTGGGTTGAGACCCGTATTTTATGATTATGAAATGAAATGTCATAGAGTTACTTTTATTTGGAAGAATTATACTCGAATGATATTTATTTGAAAGAATTATATTCGCAAGATTTTTATTTGAAAAACTTATATGTGAAAGATTTATATTTGAAGGACTTGATTAATTGGTTATACTTGTGTTCTTTATTCGTTTGAGCAATATTTATGGTGTTCTTGTTGCCTTGTTGTTCATATCCCAGATTGATCTTTGTTGCCGTCACTTCTACTTGTTTTTTATTATCCCTATATATTACTATATTGTACAGGTTAAATGACTAGTGAGTGTCTTGACTGTACCTCGTCACTACTCCACCGAGGTTAGTCTTGATACTTACTGGGTACCGACTGTGGTGTACTCATGCTATACTTCTGCACATTTTTGTGCAGAGCCAGGTATTGAAGTTATCGAATTCGGACAGAGATTAGAGTGTGATCGCAAGGATTCAAGTAGGGATGCTTGGTCGTCGCAGTCCCTTGAAGTCTTTTTATTTTTATTGTACTGTCCACTCTTATTCGAACAATATTATATATTCGATCCTTGGGATCACTGCATGTACTCAGTTAGAGTTCGTGACTCAATATTACTAGTTTTGGGAGGTTGTTAATTTATTCCGTTGTTGGTTTCAATTATCCTATAAAACAAAATGGCTCGAAATATAATTGTAATCGGCTTACCTAGTCTTAGAGACTAAGTGTCATCACGGCGGCTATGGTGGGATTTTGGATCGTGACACCTGCCTCCAGATGAGGCGCCTCTGAAATTACCGGAATTACGAGGCCTCTTTTCAGACCCCTGCCCTCTCTCCTGTGCAAGAACCATCTTGATGCTCCTAGTAGCATTAGCAGCTGCCTGAAATGAATTCTCACTTCCGGTCTCCTTAGGTGAATGCAGATATATGTGAATGCAAAATGAAATCAGCAGTTGTTTTTTCAAATGTCTGATAATTCTTTACATGGAATCATAAAGTTTCAAAGCTAGAATTTGTTATTGGTCGCAACTGATTTGGTATTGATGCATAATGACTGATTCACTTATATTATGCACCTGGCTTTATAGGTTATTTTCACTTACTGACGTGATTTATTTGTGTGCTTTTGGTCTATCTATGTTTACTGATTTGCTATGTTTGCATATGACCTTGGTTGTCACTTTGTTCAACCATGTATATAGAGCAGTCATCACATGCTCCGTCTCAAGCTCAAGCTTCATCTTCGTCTTCTGATCGACTCTCTTTATGTCATACACAGCCCATGGTTCCATCTTCATCAACTAATAGAGTCTCGGCACAGAATGTCATTCCATCTTCATCAACTAACTGAGTCTCGTCACATAATGTTATTGCATCTTCATCATCTGATGCAGTCTCTTCACTACCAACTAGACATAGACGAGTTACAGATGACTCGGAGCCTCGTGATTGGATTGTCGATGTTATAGGTACATATAAATTAAAAATTATTTTGTTTTCCTCGATTAATATTTTTATATGGTCTTTATTTTGTTGCAGATGAATATCAAGTGATAAAGTCTATTAGGTTGAAGGTTCAGGATGTCCATAACTTGGAGAATGGATTGCGTATAATTGTAGAATGTGATGAGTTTGCTCAACCTATTGGAAAATCAGCTGGCCTTCTTGCATGATTTTTGGGGCAGCTAATTTATCGCTTGCAATCTAATTTATCGCTTTGTATCAAGTTAATCCACATGTCCTTATATCCACTAACAAATTCAATTGTTATCCGATTTTGAGGGTAAACAAACTTCTTCCATCCTCTCTATTAAGAAAAAAACAAGTAAAAATCATGAAATTGCAAGGAAGTAAAAGTAAAAATTTAATAACTTCTTCCATCAAGTCGCAACATAAGGATAAAATGAGGATATTAAAATTAATAGCTTCTAAAGAGAGAAATAGTAGAGGGGGTAAATTTGATTTTTTTTTTCTTTTTCCCAAGAGTACTTAGACATGTATATGGTGCTCCGTTAGTTAACGACAATGTTAGGAGGAATCTAAAGTTTAACAAAGAATAAATATAAAACATTTCGTATTGTAAAGGGTTTCAAATTAGAGAATTAACATCTTCAATCCGAATATTGCCCAAACACAGCTGTTGTTATTTTAAAACTGGGCGAATATCAAATAGTAAATAGTACTATCAATTTATTTGTATAAATGCAATCACAAGGACAAAACTGCCGCCTTCTATTTTGTGTTGGATTTTTATGCTTTTATAATAACTAGTTTCTATACTCGTGCGTTGCACGAATATTTTAAGTCAAGTATCATATAATTTGTACAAAAGATAATAAAATTTTAATCGCATATATTCTAATAGTATCATTTGTTAGAATAATATAATGGAACTAATTAGCTACCATCATTAGTAAATTAATATGTTGATTCAAAGCGTAATTGGCTATTGCTTTGTAATTTATATGTAACTCGAATGATCTTTCGGGTTAACGGAAGAATCGTAACACCAACACCTTCAGTGGATGATCACCCAACACACATCTGTTTACTGTCACTTATCAACCTAAAATTGAGTTTTTTTTATATATATAAAGTAATTAAGATAGTAGACATCTTGTTCAAACTTTACGAGAGAATAAAGTTCCATTAAATTTATAAATCCTTGTGCAATTAATTTGAGTCATTGAGTGGATAATTCACCATTGTTCAACAATATTGTGTGGAATAAATATGAATTAAAGCTTCAGTTTAAGGAATTTAATGTTTAGCTAGTTTCCTTCAAAATATTAAATATTAGATAGTGCCAATGTGTTACGATTTTATTCAATGTGAAATTATCTCTATGAAAGCCTAATCCCAATAGTTTTAATTTTTTTTTAGTCCAATGTGATTTAGTCTTGATCGTACGTTGTAAATGTGATCATATAGTCCTTCTGTTGATCTACAGTTATATTAGCTTATAATTATTAATAAAGTTATATTATTAATAAGAAGAAAAAAAAGTATTAATGTCCGGAACTTGGAAAAGAGGGTCAAAATTAGATTTCTAAAACTATAAAACCAAACACAAAACCGTTTAAGTACGTTGAATTTGTAATAAAATACAGTGAAATGTACAAAAATTCTTTTGAATAACAATGCATTGTTAGTTTCAGGTACCGAACTCAAAATACTTTAAGAAAACAAAATTTAATCGAATCTTTGTTTTTTACGTCTTGGAATTCAAAAAGAAAACTAAAAAAATTTCTTCAATTTTGTAAACTAATTATTTTTATTTTAATACTTTGAAAATATCTGACAATATACAGTTGAACTAACTTCCTTCAATTCTAACGTATTTGTTCCACGTTTAGCCTGAGGAAAGTTTAGAATATTAGTTTTAGGATTTACTTTTTCTTATTCCATTCGTGATTCTAATTCTTCCACTAAAGTTCCTATTCTACTGTAACTCTTCATCCTAACGTGTTTATTTCCAGTTGTGTCATTCCATTATAAGTTCTTGTCAAAATTAATATAAATAGTTAAGGGTATAAAAGTCGATTAATATTTTAGGGATATTTTAGTCTCTCAATATTTAGCACGAAACATTCGTACTTTTATAATAATATAGATATAGATTTATTTATATTTAAAATAAAAATCATGATAAGTGAAACACATGATAAGCTTCTGTAATTATTACAATTTAAAAGACTTCAACTAACTGCCATATTAATTGCGACCATTATAAATAAATACCTTTGACACTCACAAGTTGGCGGAGATTTGTTAAACATTAATTTGTATGAGTTGGAAGTTAGATTTATATAATACAACATTTAAAATGTATTATACAAGTTGTGGATTGTATTATGTTAGACATTTTTAATTCGTTACGTTAAATTGATGCACCGTACATTTTTCTAAAGTTTTCATATTTGATTTGTTCTGTTAAATCATATTCTCTTAATTTTTCTTTGTTGAATATGTGTGGGGATGTATGGTTATTGTGTGAGTTAACCATTGTTGAGCTGCACATCATGACATCAATAAGCGTACCATCAAGAAGTCATTAGTATTTATCTTTAGAAACAAAATTACTTAATGGAAAATTAGCAAATTATTATCAACCTAGATGTTAATAATAGAATAGATTAAAACTTGAAATCTAGTCCATTTGAATTTGAAGACTTAAATTAATTTAGTTGTTCTAATAACAATTATATTCTCTCGAAACTTTAAAGAAGAACTAGGAATGCCGCAAAGAAGCCCATTGTAAAAAGTTACTCGCAATCGATGTCTATACTAAATTAATAAATTTCAGATGTGTCTTGATACACACATCTATAACTAATTCATGGTTAAGTAATACTCCATATATTATTATATTACTTTAATTTTTAACTTTGAGAGTTAAATAATTCGCTTTAGTATAAACACGAAGTACATGCAAGTATTTTCTGGGAAAGGAATGATACAGCTATAGTACAGGCTGTACACATCTTGCAAAACATGAAAAGCCTGATCCAATAATGTATTTGGGTGTAATCTAATCTATCTGTTCAGATTATAGTGTAATTTGTCTTAAATTTGACAGAGAGCTCTTACTATAAATAGCTCTACTTTTCTCTCATCAAATATCCAGGACAAAAGTAGGAAAAAAAAAAATTATTCAAGCATATTAGAAATCATGAACTTCACAAAAGTTGTAGTGGCAGTTTTTCTCATTGTGACTATTTTAGCAAATGCTGAAACCACAAATAATGAAGTTGTTGGCGACGATGGAATATCTTGCAAAGCAAAATGTATACTTGCATGTGCCTTAAGTAGAACTCCCCATTGCCTTGACGATTGCCTGAAGCAATGCAGTTTTCCTGTCTCTCCTGAAGTGTTGAATTGTAATTTTGCATGTTCAACTGAATGTTGCTCTAAGTTTAGAGAAGGTATTATTCTTTCCATAACTTTCTTTATTTCAACAATTCTGTATGTTTGCTCACATGTGATTTAACAAATTATTTGTAGATTTGAAGCTGATGGGAAGTTGCTTGGAAGACTGTTCAACAAAATATTGCAACTAGCTAGAGAGACATGTATCTTTATTGCAAAAGCAAAGTAACAAATATGCTATATAATTAGTTACTCCAAATGTATTGATTTATGCTCCTAATGAAGTGGAGAAAATTATTTTTGACAACTCTATCTTTTAGATCTTTAGTCTCTCTTATCGTGTCTTTGAACATCTCCCTAAAAGAGAAAGTAGTTAATTTATATATCAATGCATCATCTGGTCTAATTTCTATGAGGCTATATATCTAATAGTGTTAATATCTGTTGATCACTGTCGAGCAGGGGCGGAGCTAGAGGTTCCGAGCGGTTCAGCCGAACCCAATAGTTTTTGTTCGAACCATGTATTTGTCTTTAAAAAATTCATTGAAATATATATAAATTATTAATTTAGAACCAGTAGCTAAAAATACTTAAAATTCCGAACCCATAAACTTGAAATCCTGGCTCCGCNATATATATATGGTATGTTGGATAATAGATAATAATCCCGGGCTTAGATGCGGGATTACTTTATCCCACGTTTGGTTGAACTTTCGATTCCGGGATTAGCAATCCCGAGATTAATCCCACAATTGGTTAGTATTATTCTATCACACATTGAGGATGGGATAATAATCCTGAGAGTAATTAATCCTGGAATAAACATTAAAATGATAAAGATACCCTTCTCCAAAGCTCTTCTCCTAATGTCTTTTAAATAATTCAAGTTTAAAATAAAATAAAATTTTATCTCAACTTATGTAGTATACGCCATATACATATTTATATTATATCCCGCATATCCAATGAACCAAACATTTTCTAATAAGAATATATTTATTAAATAATCTTATTATTATTTAATCCATATATTATAATCACATCATTATAATCTCGACCCTACCAAATGTTTTTTACCGTCCCCCTTGCTACTTTTACCAGATCTTTGACGATCTTCCGAAGCAGAAGCAAGCAAAAAGTTGATGTGTATGCAACATCTCTTACTCCAACCTTTCGATTGATCGATGAGGTCTAGTTGGACACGTTTTGAAGTACAGAGAATAACCCATCTGCTTTTGTCACTTGAATACTATGCTTTTGTCCGTGGGAGGATTCAAATTCGTGATGTTCGCCTAACGCTTTGTCTTCTTGACATTATTTTAGTCGGTAAATTATTAGTTTGTGATCGAGGCTTAATTGATCGGATAATCCGGCGTCTAATTCTGGACATTCTAAGTAAAAATAAATTCTACTTTTTCTCCGTTACAACAAATTATGTTATTAGGAAAAAGCTTATTTTCTGTAACATCTTCCATACTCTCTGTTAAGAAAAAACAAGTAAATATTATGAAACTACAAGGAAGTGAAAAAAAAATTAATAACTTCTTCCAGCAAGTTGCGTAATTAGAATAAAATAAGAATTTTAAAATTAATAGCTTCTACAGAGAGAAATAGTAGAGGGGGTAAATTTGAATTTTCCCCCAACAGTACTTAGACATGTAAATTAATATAATTCATGCAGGAGCTACGTTCGCTAACGATAAGGTTATGGCGGACTCTAAATTTTAATAAAGAATAAATTTAAAACATTTCGTATTGTAGAAGGGTTTTAAATTTGAAAATTAACACCTTTTCTAACTTCAAGCCAAATATTTCCAAACACAGTTGTATTAGCACAGGGCGAATATCAAATAGCAAATAGTACTATCAATTTATTTGTCTAAATGCAATCACAGGACTAAACACGATGGAACAATTCTGCCACCCTTCTACTTCGTGTTGGTATTTCATATTTTTATAATAATACAGATTAATTATCTTTAAAATAAAAACCTTGAAGTGGTACACATGAATAACATGATAATCTTTTGTAATTATTACAATTTACATGACTGCAACTAACTCCCATATTAATTGCAGCTATTTTAAATAAATACCTTTGTCATTCACAAGTTGGTGGAGATCAGTTAAACATTAATTTGTCTGAGTTGGAACTTTGATTCATATAATACAACAGTTAAAATGTGTTAAACAAGTTGTGGATTGTATTATGTTTATTTATTTGGGTGTAATCTAATTTTCATGACCAGATTATTGTGCAATTTAATTTGTCTTAAATTCAACTGAAATCTCTTATTATAAATAGCGTTAAACAAAAGTAATATATATATATATATATATCAATCGAGGAGAGGTCCCAATTAAGTGCATTATATCACAAATCATTAGCTTTACAAATGTTCTAATGGCAATTTTCCTCACTGTGACTTTTTTAGCAAATGTAGAAGCTATTGGTGAGGAGGGAATGTCTTGCAAAGCCAAATGTGTTTTTTTATGTTTCTCAAGTAAAAATCCCTTTTGCCTTGATAAATGCATCGAACGATATTGTCATCTTCCCATTTCTCCTGAAGCATTGAACTGTAATCTTGCTTGTTCAACTGAAAGTTGCTCCAAATTTAGAGAAGGTATAATTTTATCTGTAAATTTCTTTATTTTAACAGTTTTATACGTTTGTTCCGACATGTATAATTAATATGACTAATTTGTGACATATTTCTTTTTTTAATAAACTCTTTGTAGATCCGAAGCAAATGAGAAGCTGCTTGGAAGAATGTTCAACAAGATGTTAGCATCAAGAAAGGCGTGTAAAGGTTATGCTTATTGTTATGCAAAAGCAAAGTAATGAAAAGAAACTAGAACAAATATAACTTAGAAAAGAAACGAAATTAATGTTTTTTTTTTAACTAGAGAGTAATAGATTTTCTGTTTGTGCCTCCATCCCAGTTTCCCTGATAGCATTTTTGCTTTTATGTTTGACCGGAGATTAAATATGAAGTGAAAGATTGTACTAAGCGAAGGTTCCAATATGAATTAAACATAGAACATAATTTTCATCGACTACGCAACTCTTTATTTCACTGTGCGATTTTTAAAGTTTAGTTCAATTCGATGTTACTATGTTTAGCATCAGAATTACTAAGATATAACAGGTAGCTAACTTGTTCGTTAATTTTAAAGACATTAGATATGATTAATAGAAATCTACGCGATCTACCTATTAAAAACACTAGTTAACTTCATATACCTAAAATATTTATTTTACATTTAAGCCCAAGCAAATATGACCCATCCAACCCGCAATACTATTTTTCTTCTCGGTAAAGAATGGAGTCAAATGCCTTAACTTTAATTTTCACTTTCTTTTTCTTTGTTTCAACATTTCTCTAAAACTTCGTGGGCGTTATGCTCCTCGTATGTATCTGTTGGGATATATACTATTAATCATGGATTTTGGCTTGGATATAGTATTTATTATGGAATAATTATTTATTCAATTTTAATAACATTTTAAATAAATTATATATTCGTTTGTGTCCTTTATTTATGCAGTAGATGATTTAGTGTATAGAGTTTAGCTTATACACGGAAGATTAAATCATCGGTTCTTATAAGTATAAAGATCATGTTCACAATCTAATGATGGAATTGGACAAACCATGAGGAATGATTGTAGCACAAAATTAAATATAATTTATTTTGATTAGGGGAATAGTTTAATTCCAACTTATTATGCTAGTACATTTTGTATGTATTGAACGGACTAAGTAGAGATAAATATTTTATACTGACTTAATAAAATAAAGTCTCTAGCCATTAAATGTACTTATACTCTTAATCTTGATATAATTATTATTAGTTGTGTATATTATTATTGTTTTAATTTATTAAAAGGCAAGATCCTTTCGTGGGTTAATATGCCTGGTAAATTGGACAATAATGATATACATTGACAAAGTAATAGTTAGTTGATGGAATCCATGTCTCTGGTCTAGAGATTGATGATACACCTTTATGAAAGCTTATAAGTTTTTAATGTGTAAACCCTGCAGGTGGATTTTGTATCCGTCACATGAAATAAGTTAAGCGAAAGTCTAAAGGAAATAATCAATGAAATAAATTGTCTAGTAATTTAATTTATTTGATTCGTATTTGAATCTTAACAGGGAGTTAAATAAGGTTTAATAGAAAAATTTCGAAATTGAACTGAGGAGTGCAATTACGAATTTTTAGTGAATAATTCGTAATTTATTATGGTAGTATCAATTCGGATATTTCGAATTAAGTCCATAATAGGAGGTCTCGTTAATTAAATAATGCGGTCCCTGTTGTACCCGAATAATTAGGAATTAAATGGAATTTTATTTATTGGTGAAAAAGGAAGACCCAACAGGTTTAGGAAAATATTTTAAACCCTAAAACTTGTGGTTATATAAAGGGGTCTTATTCCCTAAGGAGGTTATGGTTTTTACTATATGGTTTTTGTAGGAGAAATTCGCCCACACGAATTTCGCTAATTCCGGGTATTATTCGAGTCACACAGCAGAAGATTGTGAAACTGGAGGATAATCTCGTGGACGATTTTCGCTCTTACTTAAAGGATCTTTTCGCGATCGCGGTCACGCTTCAAGAGATAAGTATCGATTTTATGTTTGATTAAAATCTGTGATTATGTGTTGTCTATATTACATGCAAGCGATCATGATTATTTGCTTTCGCTGTTTATATATGTTTCCGATTAATTGGTATTAGAGCTTACTTGCATCTAATTAGATAATGCGGTGATACATGTATATGTGATCGTGTATATAGTTACGTTCTCATCTATGAAGTCGTTTGTGCTATTGTCGGCGGCTATAGTGCAGAAACAATTTTTAAGAGTTTATAATTTTTCTTACCTTGTTTCTGTGAATGATGATTGGCGTGATATTCTTGTTTTTGGCAATAATTATTGCATCCTAGGTTACTACCATCTTGCCAAGTGTAGGACTAAAGTAGAAAGATAATATTAAAGAATCAAAGTGGAGATTTTTCCCGGCAGTGAAGCACAATTGCAGAATGTTAATTCTTGCTAAGAATTGACTCGAAGTTAATCAAATATGCCTTTTGACTTTGATATCAAGATGGCAATTCGTGCCGAGATTCGGAAAGGTGTTTGTTTCTCAAACTTTGTTGATACTGCTAATATTTTTCTTAACCAACTAGGCTGGGTCGCCAACAAGTATTAACTTGAAATTCAACTAAAGAATTAAGAATACTGGCCCACAGGATATAACTTGATTTCTAG